TCTGGAAAATAAGTAAGCTCGCCTCTGGCACTACCTTTTCCCTGGCCATCATTTTCCCTGGGGTCCAATCACCAAGACCCACTGAAAGACAAACGGACCCAAATCTCTTAAATGCAGTCAGGACCAGGAAGCAAAGTCATGGAAAGCAGCCTTTTTTTCCCTCTCCCCATGCCCTAGACTAATGAAGACTCAGAAAGATACACTCAGGCATATGCATACTCACACACAGATACACTGGTACACATGCACACACCTTGAGTGCTGATTAAGAATGAGTATGCAATAATAACATAGCTCACATTTGTGCCTGGCACTACTTATGCGAACACATATTGCCTCATTGAATCCTCATGGGAGGTTGTTACTATAGCTCTACCCATTTTACAGATGAGGAAATTAAGTCACCGGAGCATTAAGAAACTCATTCAAAATCATACAGCTCATAAATGGCCACTCTGGGATTTCACCCAGGAAACCGGTCCCAGAATCTAACCACCCTGCCATTCTGCCCCTTTCGAGTCATATTCCTGCTTCAACTCCCCCTTTCCTTTTGCACACAGACCCCTCCTCTTCTGATTATCTAAAGTGGCTGCATCAAGTTATTGACAGGGGACTCGGCCAATCTGTAAAGCTGTGCCCCTGCTGGAGGGCGGGAAAGTTGGCAGGGCTGGGAAGACCCATCACCTGTGTGTGCAGGACGTTGGTGAGGCGAGGTCAGGCAGGAGAGCCCCAGCTGTGGTGGGGAGCTGTGTGCTGGAGCCAAGGCCCCTTAGGGACCCTGAACAGGGGCCAGAGGGCACTCAGGGTTGTTGGTTCAGGGCCCTGCCCTCCTTGTCAGGAAGAAGACAGAGCTTGCCTTTCTTTTGAGAATGGAAAGGTGAGAATGGTGATGACAAAAGACACGTGGGTCAAATGAGGTCCTTGGGAAAACATACCAGCTCTGATGGTCCAGAGGGCAGGGGAGGGCAGGAGAAAGCATGAGGGATCGGATAGGTGTTTGGCCAGGCTCGAAAATCATGCCCTTGTATTTCTTTCTGCCCAGGGCCAGCAACTGGGGCCACATGAGTTGTACAAAGCAAAGCTGGTTTCATGCCCCATGGACTTTGTTCCCACCCAAGTGGTAAGTCCCTTTGTGTGCATTGATTTGGTTTCCAAAGCACAAGCCTTTCAGCAAGTGCCAAACGTCATGCTGGGTGCTGGTATTCAGTGGTGAACTGTGTAAACAGGGGACCTGGGGCCACCAAATAGCCTCGAGCAAAGGCCCCACCTCTCTGCACCTGGAAAGGTAAAGCCAAGGCCTGAGCAGTCAAAGTATGAGGAAGGTCAGACCTCCCCACGGTTCACAGAGACATGGCTCCATTTTTTTTTTTTATAGAGACAGAAAACTATGGCTCTACTATAAGAAAAATAACCCGACGTGTGATGATTGAGAACTGAGCATGAGGTAGGGACAGAAGCAGAAATGGAAAGTGCTGTCCCTTTCAAAGAGGGTGGTATCACCGGTTCCACATGGGAAAGCTGCCAGCAGTTGCCCGAGACTCCTATTTCCAAGAGAAGCCAGAAGCCTTGATTTTTTTGTGTGAATTCTGCCAATCCTAAATATTCCCTCTATTTTTTTTAATTATTTAAGCTGAATAAAATGTCTGCCGGCTGCTTTGATTGAAGCAGCCATTTTGTGAAGCTAGTCTAGAGGTTAATGTGATGCAATCAGCTGGTTATAATCAGCTTTTATGAAGTTGATGTTTCCCGTTGTGGCTGCAAAAATTAGTCTTCAATCTGTCAGGAATGAGGGTCAGAATGAGTCAAGATCTGAATCACAAGTCAACATGAGGGCATTGGCCTCAGACGCTGGGTATCCGGTTGCCATTACTACTTATTTCTGCTTAACGGCTTTTTAAAATAAATGTCTAGGATAATTAAAGGGAGGGTATCTACAGTACAGTTTTTTTTCTAATCTTTGACATGAGAATGCAACTGACTGGAGACTTTCTACAAGGCCTGATGAGAAAATAAAAAGAAAAGATTCTTAACCCTGAGTGACAGCATGCTGTTGACAAAGGCACTCTGGGCTGTCCAGGGGACCGGCTGATTTTTATTTTTTATCTGGGATCCCTGAAGGGTGAGCACATGTCTGATGGGGTGGCTGGTGCCTGACTGTGCTCCTTCCCTGCTTCCAGACTCAGGCTGGACAGACGATTTCTCAACTGCTTGCTTCATCCCAGCCCCTTCCTCCTTGCTCTGCTTACAGGGTCCACATCAGAAGCAAGTGGGATCAGAAGAGGACCAATTTAGTTGTGTGCTTAGATTTAAATCAAAATAAGGTTGGAGGGCTTCCTTACAACAGAAGAGGCTCAGGTAGACATAGGTATGAGCCCCATATGTATGCTTTCTCGCAGCTCACCCTTTGCTGCGAAGACACTACCCTCCAACCTCATCTCATGTTCCTCACCTCTTCCAAAAACCATTTGAGGTAGCCTGCAGGCGAAGATGTGATGGACCACAGAGCGGTGAGGTGACTGAGAAGAGTGAGTCAACTGCAGACAGAGACCCCAGTCTCTGCTAGTTTCTAACTACTTGGTGAATGGCCCAAGGATCCTGTGCTCCAGAGTTGCTTTAAGCCTAATACTTTCCCAATCACCACCCAACACAAGATGCTTAATACTGGTTTTTTTAAGTTCTCTGTCATGCCTCTGCCTTTACTTCTCCGCCTTGTCATCTCTTTGCCAGGTCAGTTTTCCCTGCCACGGGCAGGTCTGACTACTCCTCACCCTCCCAACCTTTCAGCAGGGGTGGGGAACCTCTTTTCTGCCAAGGGCCATTTGGGTATTTATAACATCATTTGAGAGCCATACAAAATTATTAACTTAAAAACTAGGCTTCTACTGCTATATTTGGTCAAACATTTAATTAACTCACCCTAATGCCTTGGCAGGGCCAGATCAAATGATTTTGCGGGCCTGATACTTTCCAGGGCTGGACATTCCCCACCCCTGGAAAGTATCAAACTATCCATGAGGCCTTTACCCTTCTCTTTCCCCAAACTTGCAATCAATTCTTTTCCAGATTTATATTTCATGAAGCTGCCTGTCATAGGATGGGTTCTCTGAAAATAGACTCTAAGGTACAAACTACTGTGATGTAGCCTGTTGAGATGAGAAACGTTCATTCGGTACCAACACCTGAGAAAGGAAGGGCAAGGACACAAGCCTGAGAGGGAGACTGTGCTGTGGAAGAGTTAGCTAGCTTGGCTAGCCTGGTGCACATCTCTGGGGTGAACATCACCTTCACCTGGGGTTGGCTGGATTTGTTTGTTTGTTTGTTTGTTTTGTTAATCCTCGCCTGAGGATATTTTTCCCGTTGATTTTTAGGGAGAGTGGAAGAGAGAGGAGAAGACAGAAAGAATGTGAGAAAAACACATTGATTGGAGTGCAATGCTTTAGAATCATTCATCTTGGCCTTTCATTCAGTCACTGATCATGTATTTATTGGATATCTATTCTGCATCAGACACTAAGCTAACCATTGGTGATAGAGTGGGAAATGGGTCACATAAGGTCACTGTCATTGACACTCAGGCTAGGGGAAAAGAAAGATTGAACAAGTACACACAGACATAATGAAAAACAGTAGGCCCTGGAAGGAGTGGCTTAAATGGTTGAGCAACATCCCATTCACCGAAAGGTCACCAGTTTGATTCTGGGTCAGGGCACATGTCAGGGTTGTGGGCTCCATCCACAGTAGGGGGAGAGGCGCACCCAATCAATGTTATGCTTTCACATCGATGTTTCCTTCTCTCTCTCCTTTCCTTTCCTCTCTTTCTAAAATCAATTTTTAAAAAAAGAAATAGTGGTGTTATAGGAGAGAATAACAGGGTAAGAGAATAGGGAAGGAATGGCAAGAAAAACCAGGGAAACTGGCAGGCAGCAGATTTCGCCAGGTCCTGGAAGGTGTGGAATGGTGTTTACATTTTACTCTAAGTGCACAGGAAAGCCACTGGAATATTTTTAAGCAATGCATATCATGATTTGATTTCTATTTTCACAAGAACACTAGCAGGGTGGCAGCAATGGTGGCAGGAAGGCCATTGAAGAGTGCACTGCAGCAATCCAGACTAGAAATGACATAGTTCACTGTGGATACTCACAGTGGAGATGGAGAAGAGTGAAAGGATTCAAAAAATATTTTTAAACAAGACTCAATCCTTTCTGCCCTCAAGAAGTTCACACTCTGTTGGGAAGACAGACATGCCAATAAATAATATAGCAAATAGTAACTTGGATGAAAATGAAAAATGGAACAGATGGAGCATAGCACGGAGCATGGAAGACTTCCTGGGGAACCAAGGTGCTCCCCAGGAAGCACCTTGTGTTGAAGCTGGGGATTCAAACATTAGTAAAGTGCTGGTGGTCCTTCCAGCAGAGGTGGCCATGGGTGTGGCAGCCACGATTATGTGCTGCACAGACCTCCACCTACAGAGGCCTTCACTGACCAAGGACCAAACAGGACATCTATACCATCCTGTCTGTACCTCTTCCATTGTGTTCATCACTTTTTATAAAGAAATCTGTTTGCATGACTGTTTTTCTCCCTGGATTTCAATCTCCTGGAAGACAGTTTCTGTATTGCTTACTGTGGCAATAAATATTTTTTTTATAAGTACAAGTTTTCTCTAATAATAGCACCACTGATCATATCTTCATTTTCCAGCCCTTTTCATTTCCTTCACATTGTGCCATAATTTTGAAGGTGTTGTCTTCAGGTGACTCTCTCCACTATGTTCTTGAGGGTAAATCTCCTGTTCCCTCCTTTTGTGCCTTTTCATGGGTCATGTATTGATCTACATACTCAAAGGGTCACCCAAGAATACTGACTGAAATGAGTATTTTAATCACATGCAGTAGTCAATTACTAACTAATGAACTTTTATTCCTTTGTTGGTTACCAGGACGAAGTGACTTTACCTGCTGCTGAAGGGTTTCATCTGCTTACTGCCTCCCAGCATGTCTACTAAAAGTAGTCAGTCATCAGGAGAGTCATCACCTCTCCTTCCCACCACTTTCCAACAACCCACACAGATCTTCTCTGCAGAGGAAGAGTATACCAAGGGAGAGGAGAAGAGTTCAAAGGAAGACTCTCCATTTCTTGAAGAAAATGAGTATCTGGAAGAGAATGAGTATCTGGAGAAGGAAAAGTATCCGCAGGAAGATGACTATCTGGAGAAGGAAAAGCATCAGAAAGGAAAGAAGGATCTGAATAAACGGGGGTCTCTGAAGGGGAAAAAGCATCTACAGAAGGAAAAAAATTATTGGTATGAAGAAGGCTATTTAGAAAAGGGTGAGTATCTGGAGGAGGGTCTCCCAAAGTGCTCAGGAAAAAAAGAAAAAATTTGAAATCTAGCCAAAGTTCAAATTATCAACCTACCCATGGAATGAACAGGTAGGAAGACTCATTACTAAGTTCTATTCACAGCTTCACTAGCCATGCCCCAAAGCACCATGTCAACAGAGCAGGCAGGGAGACTTGATGAATGTAAAGCACCTGTTCATAAAAAAAAAAAAGAACCCATGATTTTTACCTTATTTTTTCCTTATTGCTCAAGTAATACATGTTCATTGTGGATGTTTGAGAAATTATATATAAGCAAAAAATAGCAAAGATCTCTACCATCCAGAGATGATCATTTCTTTCACACTTTGGTTATATCCTCCCCAGACTTTATATAGTGTTTGTAACCTGCCTTTTAAGGTACATTTTTAATATACTTATAACTAGAGGCCCAGTGCACAAAAATTTGTGCACTGGCGCGGGGGGGTGGGGGTGGTGTGTCCCTCAGCCCCACTTGTGCCCTCTCACAGGCTGGGACCCCTTGGGAGATAACTACCGGCGGCTTAGGCCCCAGGCCTAAGCCACAGTTGGATATCCTTAGTGCTGCCGAGGAGACAGGAGAGGCCTTTAGGGTCAATTTGCATATTACCCTATTATTATATAGGATTAGCTAGATAGGTTAGCAAGTGCCATCATTTAAAGAAGGTGAATGCAAAATATGGAAGGTGCAGTTTTTCTGAGCTGAAGATTGGTGAAAGAATAGACACTAGTGGTACAAAAACAAAAGATGAATTACTTATGGTACTTTGATTAAGGTGTAAATTCTTCATTTGTCCAAAGCCATAGGCTAATTATCATTTCCCTGTTTTTATCTTAAGGTTCTTTAATTCCACTACAAACAAATATCCTACTTACCTCAAGTGTTGGAATTATCTATAT